GCTCTATCTCTCCTTTCAACCAGATGATCCGACGGTACCTGCTCGGATCTCAGACTGCCTGACAGACATCTCAGTATGGATGAAAGAACATCACCTGCAGATCAACCTGGAAAAAGACTGAGTTTCGCATCTTCCCAGCCTCCCCATCAGTCCAGCACCAGTTTCCCATCCAACTGAGCTCCTCAACGATTATCCCATAGAGTTCAGCCAGGAATCATGGGGTAATTCTTGATGATCAGCTGACCTTTAAAGATCACATTGCAAAAACAGCACGATCATGCAGGTTCTCACTACACAACATCAGGAAGATCTGACCCTTCCTAACAGAGCTTTTCGTCCAGGCCCTTGTCATTTCTAGGCTGGACTATTGCAGTGCTCTTCTTGATCTATCACTGCAACACAAACACTAAAGCCGAGAGCAGAGTGTCTGGATGCAGAACGAGTGATTTTACAGGCTGTGAATGCATGCTTTACTGATACAGAAGCAGATGCATCACCTCATTATGAAGCTCTGATTGATGTCGAGATCTTTGACTGGATCTTCAGATAAACTCCATCATAGAATTCATGATTCATGTCATTTATTCCAATGCATTTAATAAATAGGAATCAGTGAATCACATCAGCATTGACATTTAATTTCTCTGAAAATGTCTTTTTACATGTTTAATTACAAATTATTGTTAGAGATCCTCAGGAACTCCATCCATCCTGAAGTGGCTGATGAAAACCACGACCTTCGCGATGAACAGAATATTTCTTCACCAATCAACGATACTGCGAGAAATATTTTTTCAGAAATGGACTTTGAAGTGTAATGTTTCTCGAGGATCAAGAGTGCAGGTTCGGCGTTATAGAGCGGCAAGAATCATTACACTTCAAGGCCGTTTTAGTATATTTTCTCATATGGTTAATAAATGGAGGTATATGAGCAGAAATATCAAATGGGCTTGAATGATAAACCATGTGGCTCAAACTGTTTCTCGCTGAGGGCTTTCAAAACATTCTTTGGTTTTACAGAAGGAGCTCAATTCTATGTTTCTGCTGGGTAATATAATAAATGCAATCAGGTATCTACTGTATCATATTTGAGATGTGAATTTTCTAAGGCTTTAAATGATCAACATGATTAGAATGATCAAAAAATAAAAAGCTCTTTACAAACGTCCAGCTTCAGCTGGAGCTTCTCGTGTCAAATCTTGACTGGTTTTGATCCAGTAAGCGTCAGAAAGATTTAGATCAGAATTCACCATATAAATATCAGCATCTGCAGCAAATTATTATAGTTTTCTCCATATTCTTACTATATCCACAATATATAAGAAACCACAACTAGATCCTGGTGAACTGGCAAATTACAGACCCATCTCAAATCTTCCTTTTATGTCTAAAACTTTAGAAAAAGTTGTGTCTGCTCAATTGCACTCCTTCCTGCAAAAAAAAGATCTCTATGAAGAATTTCAGTCAGGTTTCAGGCCCCACCATAGCACAGAAACTGCACTTGTTAAAATTACAAATGACTTGCTTCTTGCGTCAGACCAAGGCTGTGTCTCATTGCTAGTTTTACTTGATCTTAGTGCTGCGTTCGATACTATAGATCATGACATACTGATAGATCGATTACAAAACTATACAGGTATTCAAGGACAGGCTTTAAGATGGTTTAGATCCTACCTGTCCGATCGCTACCACATTGTTCATTTAAATGGGGAGTCATCTCAACTATCACCAGTAAAATATGGAGTGCCACAAGGATCTGTCCTAGGTCCTCTGCTATTTTCGATATACATGTTGCCCCTTGGTAATATTATTAGAAAATACGGGATTAGTTTCCACTGTTATGCCGATGATACTCAACTATATATCTCAACAAGACCAGATGAAACTTCTAAATTATCTAAGCTAACAGAGTGTGTTAAAAATGTAAAAGATTGGATGTGTGTGGTTCAATAAAAAAAGAATAAAATGTCAGGCTTTACAGGGTTAATGGTTAATGCCGTACAACAGACAGCAAAAAAGAGTCTGATATCATCTTATATATACACATGCATTTTTATTTCTTATTGGTGTTTCTACTGAATGATGATTGTTTTAGTTTTTTCCAGTAATAGTCACATTCTGCACTGCTGGGCTTTCAGAGACAGGAGGCGCTAGAGCTTCACCAACAGCATTGAGTCTATAATGATATACTGTATATAAACGAAATATTGGAGCAAGAAAATACTATGTACATTTTCTACTTGAAAATTTCACATTTAATGCAATGTCTTACTTGCAATATTTTTGTAATTGTGAAGTTCTAGAATTTTAAAAATATTTTTATTCTTTAGCTTTAGAACCTCTAGGAATAGGTATGAGATTGGTCTGTTTTTCTCTGCACTGGCACTTATAGAAGTTTGCACTGTTGAGTTATGTTGACTGAATTTGTACTCGGGTTCAGCTGATGCTGTGTTTAATGTGCTCTGTAAATAAAGGCTGAGTTGGGTTGTTAAAAACACAAATGAAGCGGACGGTCTGCAGATAAACAAACCGGCAGAGCTCAATACTGAGACATGCGGTGTTTGTCTGTAGATGCACTCCTTTCTGTGGAGGAGCTTTCTGCAGAAACAGAGATCAGCGTGTCAAAGCCAGAGGAATCGAGTGCTTGTTTAACAGTCAGTGTTCTTTTATTTCACTGCTCCTTGAACTCATCTCAAACCTCACACTCCTGATTCAATAGGACTGACCTTCACTTCACCTTCACTTAAGGTCTGGATTAACCACACAACTCTTGACTCGCTACACAACACACACACACACACACACACACACACACACACAAGAAATGATTCAGTAGATCCTTAACAAGAAAATAACTGGCTTGTGTTCACATCACAACGCACATGAATCTACAGCGTATGCTGTTGTTAATCACTTATATGATTTCTTCAATAAACCCGTGTTTATTACTTGTCAGCATTTATTGTGTTGTAAACAGAGTTCGTACTGAACTGAGGCTGTGTTATAACTTCTAGTATATAGTGCACTTACTGTGAACTTATTTCCATTTAGGAATTAATAGTAAATTGCACAAATCACTGTGAAAAATCAGTTGCTGCCTTAATTCTTTTTTTAAGTTAAATCAAAGTGGCTCTACAAGTTTGATCTCGTATAACTAGTTGAAACTGGTTAAACTATTATGATTAAGTTTAAATAATGGGAAAAAAACATGTTCTCGTGACTTATTACTCACATAATTTTTTGCAATTTCAAAGAAACGGCAAGTAACACGTGGAATTTTAAAGTAGATCTGTTTCTTGAAAAACAGATACTCCAATAATTTATTTACAATTTTTTTTTTTTTTTTTTACAGTGTAATAATGTGGTTTTGTCTATTTTTAAATAATAGTGAATTAAATAAAATAATAACAATTTTTGTTTTTAGTTTCAGAGTTAATTCACGCTAAATTGTTTACATTTTACTCAGAAAACTAATAAATTCCACAAACACATCAAATTAAATGTGAAGTTTTGAAGTAGAAAAACCGAAATAGTATTTTCTTGTAAAACACTCCAATAATTTATTTATTCACAACTTTGGAAAATATAATTTTTACAGCATACTTGAATTATCAATACATGTGACTTATTACTCACATAATTTTTTGCAATTTCAAAGAAACGGCAAGTAACACGTGGAATTTTAAAGTAGATCTGTTTCTTGAAAAACAGATACTCCAATAATTTATTTACAATTTTTTTTTTTTTTTTACAGTGTAATAATGTGGTTTTGTCTATTTTTAAATAATAGTGAATTAAATAAAATAATAACAATTTTTGTTTTTAGTTTCAGAGTTAATTCACGCTAAATTGTTTACATTTTACTCAGAAAACTAATAAATTCCACAAACACATCAAATTAAATGTGAAGTTTTGAAGTAGAAAAACCGAAATAGTATTTTCTTGTAAAACACTCCAATAATTTATTTATTCACAACTTTGGAAAATATAATTTTTACAGCATACTTGAATTATCAATACAAAACAACCATTTACAATATAATAAACATGCGGCATGATGAGGTCACGTGACTGCATTGCATACGGTTTCACTCATAATGTTTATGAATAATATTATAATGCACAGTATTTAATAGGTAATCATCTAGTTCTGAACAGACAAATACGTTTTTTATTGCTCTCACTCATGTTAAGACTGAATTGAAATATTTTATATGGCAAAGATTGCAGCACAATGTATTTGAATTGAATATAAACGGGTCAGATTTCTGTAATAGTGCAAATAAACTCAGTGTTTTAAATGCACAATAACTGCTTTAATATATTTATCATTAATAAATCCAGATTGCTAACTGATTAACTAACTGAATATTGCTTGTTTCACAGCTAGCCATATTTAACCATGTTTTTAATTGGATAGTTTTTGCAATGAACAGATTAAAGGCTGATTTTAAGCTATTTGAATAAATGCATTTTGAAAATATGTTTATTTAAATAAAAGCAAATAATAAACTGTCATGATTTGTCTGTTTTAGTGATGTATGACTGACAGATATGCATCACATTACGTTTGTTTATGTTGTGGCATCCGAATGAATGGAAATTTATGTGCAATTCAAATACATAAATTCTACATTTAGGCCAAAATATTTTTTGTGTGCCGGGCATTTTAGCAAAAATGTAAAAAAATAAATATATATATATATATATCAAATAAAAAATAAAATGCAAAAAAAATAAAAAGCTGGGTCACCATGGATAAAAGCGTCTGCTAAATAATTAAATTGTACAAAAAATATATATATATATTTTACATTATATATATTAAAAAAACATATATATATATATTAGCAGTTTTCACATTTTAATGGTTTTCAATACTATTCTAGCCTTTGTGAATATAAAACCTGCAGGCGTATGAACTCTGAAAGCAGCCGGAATAAAAAATAATACAGTTCTTATATCTTCAGAGACACTGTGCTGAAGTTCAGCCAAAGCTGCATCTCTCAGAGACGGTAAGCAAGCCTTGGGCTGATTTCAAGTGCTTCACGTGGCCTTCAGATAGCTGTAGAGCGCCTGCAGGTCTCCGTCCAGAACCTCTTTGATGGGTTTCAGCAGAGGATTGTGTCTGATGTGCAGACCTTTATCCAGCGGATGGCAGGCCAGTTTCTCCAGACGTCTCAGCCGGTGCATCTCCGCCGGCACGCTCTGGATGTCGTTGAAATCCACGTTGAGGAGCTCCAGCTTGGTCAGACGGCAGAGCATCTTGGGAAGCGCGGGGATGCAGTTTCCCTCGACGATGAGGATCTTCAATTCGGCCAGCGCTTGGATCTGATCGGCGATGTTTTCCAGTCTATTACAGGCCAGCTGCAGGAACACCAGGCTCTTCATGCTGTAAACGCAGCCGGGGATGTGAGCGATGAGATTGTGGCTCAGGTTGAGCTTCTTTAATCCGGCGAGGGCTGAAAGCGACGCAGGGAGACTAGTTAACTGGTTACCGGCCAGACTCAACACTTCCAGTTTGGTGCATGAACCCAGTTCTTCGGGAACGTCGCTCAGACGGTTACGACATGCAAAAAGCACCTTCAGGTTTCCAAGCCGTCCGATTTCAGGAGGCAAACTAGTCAGCTGGTTTCCCCAAAGATTGAGCACCAGCAGGTTCTGCAGGGAACCCACAGACGATGGAACGGATCGCAATGCATTGAGCGAGAGATTGAGCTTCTGCAGCTCTGTTATCTCCCATAATTCCTCCGGAGGATCCGACAGGCCGCGTCGAGCCAGACTGAGCACTTTGTATTCTACATTTAGGCCAAAATATTTTTTGTGTGCCGGGCATTTTAGCAAAAAACTAAATTTATTTAAAAATAAATATATATATATATCAAATAAAAAACAAAATGCAAAAAAAATAAAAAGCTGGGTCACCATGGATAAAAGCGTCTGCTAAATAATTAAATTGTACAAAAAATATATATATATATTTTACATTATATATATTAAAAAAACATATATATATATATTAGCAGTTTTCACATTTTAATGGTTTTCAATACTATTCTAGCCTTTGTGAATATAAAACCTGCAGGCGTATGAACTCTGAAAGCAGCCGGAATAAAAAATAATACAGTTCTTATATCTTCAGAGACACTGTGCTGAAGTTCAGCCAAAGCTGCATCTCTCAGAGACGGTAAGCAAGCCTTGGGCTGATTTCAAGTGCTTCACGTGGCCTTCAGATAGCTGTAGAGCGCCTGCAGGTCTCCGTCCAGAACCTCTTTGATGGGTTTCAGCAGAGGATTGTGTCTGATGTGCAGACCTTTATCCAGCGGATGGCAGGCCAGTTTCTCCAGACGTCTCAGCCGGTGCATCTCCGCCGGCACGCTCTGGATGTCGTTGAAATCCACGTTGAGGAGCTCCAGCTTGGTCAGACGGCAGAGCATCTTGGGAAGCGGGTGGATGCAGTTTCCCTCGACGATGAGGATCTTCAATTCGGCCAGCGCTTGGATCTGATCGGCGATGTTTTCCAGTCTATTACAGGCCAGCTGCAGGAACACCAGGCTCTTCATGCTGTAAACGCAGCCGGGGATGTGAGCGATGAGATTGTGGCTCAGGTTGAGCTTCTTTAATCCGGCGAGGGCTGAAAGCGACGCAGGGAGACTAGTTAACTGGTTACCGGCCAGACTCAACACTTCCAGTTTGGTGCATGAACCCAGTTCTTCGGGAACGTCGCTCAGACGGTTACGACATGCAAAAAGCACCTTCAGGTTTCCAAGCCGTCCGATTTCAGGAGGCAAACTAGTCAGCTGGTTTCCCCAAAGATTGAGCACCAGCAGGTTCTGCAGGGAACCCACAGACGATGGAACGGATCGCAATGCATTGAGCGAGAGATTGAGCTTCTGCAGCTCTGTTATCTCCCATAATTCCTCCGGAGGATCCGACAGGCCGCGTCGAGCCAGACTGAGCACTTTGTATCCGAAGTGTGTTGTTGTGTGTTTGCGAATGCGTTCGACCGTCGGAAGGTTTTCGTCTACAGCAGCGCTCTTTCTTCCCGATCTCGTTGTGTCGTCGTCTACAGCACTTTTGGATTTCTTTCCACCCATTTCTGATCTCCTTCTCAGCTAGACGCTCTTTAACTAAAGCCTGAGACACGAAGGACATTCCCAGAGCCGTGTGGCGGCACAAACACACGCTCGGAAACATCTCAGTGTGTCAAACAACATGGCCTTGGCAGCTCTTACTGAGTTTCACGAGCCTCTCGTCCAGTTGTTGCTGTCACTTGAGCGCGAGCGGTCGCTGATAACTAACCCTGATTGTGTTCAGAGACGAGGACGGAGAGAGAAATACAACTCGTGCCACTCTTGACCCAAAATAAAGGCATGCACGGACAACTGTTTAGGATCAAGTTAGCCCACTTTTAGGGTAATTGTTAACTAAAACTACTTAAACTAAATGCTTAAATGCATTACTTGAAATAAAATAAAATGTTTTTTTTTTTTAATTTCAAATAGTTGCCAAAGTAGCATTTCTCATTTGTGTTCATTTTAAGTGTAAAAACTAAAACTAAAATAACAAATAATAAAACCTAAATAGATATTTTTAAAAAAAACTATTTTCTAATTCTAAGTTTATGTTTAAAAACTATAAAAAATTTAAAATTTAAAATAATAAACACTAAATAGGCATTTTTTTTAAAAACGTAAAAAAATTATACATTTTTGTTAAGTTTGTTTAAAAACTAAAAGTAAAATAAAATAATAACTAAAAAAAATTATAATTTAAGTTCATTTTTAAAAACTAAAACTCAAATAAAAAAAGCTAATTAGACATTAAAAAACCAAACAAAAACTAATTTTAAACTAAATGCTTAAATGCATTACTTGAAATAAAATAAAATATTTTTTTTATTTAATTTCAAATAGTTGCCAAAGTAGCATTTCTCATTTGTGTTCATTTTAAGTGTAAAAACTAAAACTAAAATAACAAATAATAAAACCTAAATAGATATTTTTAAAAAAACTATTTTCTAATTCTAAGTTTATGTTTAAAAACTATAAAAAATTTAAAATTTAAAATAATAAACACTAAATAGGCATTTTTTTTAAAAACGTAAAAAAATTATACATTTTTGTTAAGTTTGTTTAAAAACTAAAAGTAAAATAAAATAATAACTAAAAAAAATTATAATTTAAGTTCATTTTTAAAAACTAAAACTCAAATAAAAAAAGCTAATTAGACATTAAAAAACCAAACAAAAACTAATTTACAATTTTTTGTTAAGTTCGTTTAAAAATTTTAACTAAATCTAAAATGAAAACTAAATAAACACATTTTAAAAACAAAAACACCACAAAATACTAAAACTTTAACTAAAATTAAAATGAAAACAGAAAATACAAACATAAGAACTAATTCAAAATATAAAAAATGCTAAATAGACATTAAAAAACCAAACAAAAACTAATTTCTAACTTTTGTTAAGTTTGTTTAAAAAATAAAATAAAATAATAAAAAATAAACACGTTTAAAAAAACATCAACTCATTTCTAACTTTTGTTAAGTTTGTCTAAAACCTACAATTAAAATAAATAAATAAAATAATAAACACCGAATAGACATTTAGAAAAACAAAAACTAATTTACAATTTTTAAGTTTGTTTAAAAACTAAAACTAAAACTAAAATAAAAATGAAAACTAAAAAACACCACAAAATACGAAACTTTAACTAAAATCAACAAACAACATACAAATAACATACAAACATAAGAACTAATTCAAAATATGAATAAACACTATAATGGTGTATCAGTGATACTAAAATAACCCTGCCTACTCTCCTAAAATACATCTTTAACAGCACAAACGCAGATGCTTTCACATAAACAACTGAGTTATTTATAGACGGACGCTGACCTGCTCCAGCAGTTTATGAATGGAATTTATTTCTATCCTGAGCTTCATTTCATGCATACAAACACTCAGAGAGTTTGTCAGAACCAGTGACACTTATATGTTCTTTACAGCTAAAGTTCAGTGAACGCCGGTAACTTTACTCATCAGTTCTCACTGAGTTAAAGAGCCACAGATGTGGATTAAAGGCTTGTGAATGCTGTCGTGGTTCAGTATTAAGTAGCATTTGTGGGACATCTGTCGGAGGCTCTCGGCATCTCGCGGCCCGTCGCCAAATAATCAGAACTCTGCAACGTTCCCCCCTGAATAGAAATGCACAGAGATGGACATCAGTGCTTTAGAGCCATGCAGCCGCTTCAGTAACGGGGTTATTATCGTAAACTCACACTCACACTCAAACCATTAAGTGTTATCTGAAATAAAATAAAATATTAAAAAGTCAACTTATTTTATTTCAGCTAGTTTCCAAGGCAACATTTATATTAATTTAGTAAAAATTTTAATTTAAAATAAAAATTAATTAAAAATATATATATACCTGTAGACATATTTTTAAAAAATTATAATAATAATAATAATAATTAAAAAAATTAGCTAAAATTAAAATGCAAATGGAAAATACAAAATAAAAATTAATTAAAAAAATATATATATACCTGTAGACATATTTAAAAATAATAATAATAATAATAATTTAAAAAATTAGCTAAAATTAAAATGCAAATGGAAAATACAAAATAAAAACTAATTCAAAATACTAATAGAAACTATAGAAATATTTATAAAAACACAACAAAATGACTAAAACTTAAAATGGAAAATACAAATAAAAGCTCAGAGTATTAATAAAAACTATGTATATACAATATACAAAAAAACTGATAAAAATGACAAAAACTTAAAACTAGTAAAACTTTCAAATTAAAGTGAAAAAGTATTTAAAAAATGCAATTCGAAACGCTGACAAAACCTGTAATAGTATATCAATGATACTAAACACTGTTCAGTAGTTGGGTTTATTTCAAGCAGAAATCTCTTGAGACGCAAACCATGCTGATGATCCGTCATTAACGTCATCAAACATAAGTGTATTTCAGACTGGCTTTCATAGCTTTATTCTCACAGGGTTCATTTATTTAACAAATTACATAATGACGTTTGAGGATTAAACACAGAAAAGCCTTACAGTGCATTTCAATCACAAACACACGTGTGTGTAAATATACAATACATATATCGGGCTCATTTGGGTTTTTGAGACGCTCTTCAGCTTTCAGAATATAAATAACCATCAGGAACGGCACGATAATAACGATGAAAGAAGTTGTCGGCGTTTCATGTTGAAGGCTGGTCGTGCAACTATCTTTGCTGTATAGAATATTTAATCATTACTGTATGTTAGGCTAACATATAACAGCAACATTTCTGCTTTATGAAGTCTTTTATTAGTTGTATTGACTGCTCCATATACGTTAAAGACCTGCAGTAATGGTTGAAAATCATTAGCTAAATTCTAAATTCCATGTGACCTTTGACCTTTAGTCTGGATTTAGCCCTGAACCTGACCTCACTGAGCAAAGCTGACATATAAATAAACTCTCAATGCTTGACCTTCTTCTTGAAATTCTTTGTGATACAAGCAGGCTCACTGTGTTGACATGAGAAAATAATTCGCAGACAAAGTTCAGAAGTTCATGTTTAATAACTTATCTGACTGTATTACTCACACATACAGTATGTACCCTATTTAATCCTGTACATCAGTAAACTTAAATGTTCTTATTTGCATATTTACACGGTTAATGACATTGATTTAATAATGTTATGCACATAAATTCATCACAAGCCATTTTAACCGGTCAAAACGGACATTCAGTTCACATTTTGTCAGGATCTG